TCATCATCATCATCATCATCATCATCATCATCATCATCATCATCATCATCATCATCATCATCATCATCATCATCATCATCATCATCGTCGTAATCATAAACATCATCCGCATCATCATCATGATCATCAGCATGATCATCATCAGCATCAGCATCATCACCAGCATCATCATCATCACCATCACCATCACCATCACCATCACCATCACCATCATCATCATCATCATCATCATCATCATCATCATCATCCTGCTCCTCCTCCTCCCCGCTCCTCCTCCTGCTCCTCCTCCTCCTCCTGCTCCTGCTCCTGCTCCTCCTCCTCCTCCTCCTCCTCCTCCTGCTCCTCCTCATCCTCCTCCTCCCCGCTCTCCTCCTCCTCCTCCTCCTCCTCCTCCTCCTCCTCCTGCTCCTGCTCCTGCTCCTGCTCCTGCTCCTGCTCCTGCTCCTCCTCCTCCTCCTCCTCTTCCTCCTCCTCCTCCTCCTCCTCCTGCCCCTCCTCCAATTCTCGGAGGTGGACAGGACCCCATCGAGCAGGACACCATGTGGTGAAAGAAACGACTCGTGACCAGAAACTTTCTACGGCTGGCGCAGGCCAGCAAACTCTGCGGCCGACAAACCCTCGCGAGAACCGAACCGGAGAAGGCCAATTCGCTAATCGACGTGGCAGGGCTGGGATTCTATCACTATCAACCACCGCTATCACAATTAACCCGTATCATAAGGGCGCGCAGGAAGGATGCAAGGGTCTTGGGGTGCCATGTTCGCGTTTTTCCAAAGAGGATGGCCAGCGAAAGTCGCTAAGGATGGACCGAAGGGGCAAGGATGCAAGGATGCCCGTCCTTCCCATGCGGGTTGACTGCATCACTCCCCCTCGAGCTCCTCCATCTTGTCGTTGTAAACAACTCCTCCCTGTCGCACCCCGAAACGTGTCGGCAGGGTGGGCAAGGCTTTTCGCCTGAGGCTTTTTCACTGCTTTCGATCCTTAAGCTTGAGGCTTGCAACGGTTTCACGGATTGAGGGCGGGCCGTTTTCAAGTCGTGGCTCTCGCCTTAGCACCCCGCACATTCGAATCTCACGGATGGAGGACGGGTCGTTTTCACATCGTGGCTCTCGCCTCAGCGCCGCGCGCATTCGTCTTAGAAGTTTGCAAAAGGTGTCACGCATGGAGGGCGGGCCATTTTCAAGTCGTGGCTCTCGCCTTGGCGTCGCGCACCTTCGTCTTAGAAGTTCGTCAAGAGTTTCACAGATGGAAGGCGGCTCCTTTTCAACATGTGGTTCCCGCCTTAGCGCCGCGTGCATTCGTCTTAAAAGTTGGCCAGAGCTTCGCGGTTGGAGGGCGAGTCGTTTTCAAAATGCTGCTCTCGCCTTAGCTCTGCGTAGGTCCGTCTTTTGCAAAAGTTTCACAGACGGAGGGCGGCTCCTTTGTCAAAATGTTGTGTTCGCCTTAGCGTCGTGCACATTCGCCTCAAAGTTCGCAACAGCTTCAAATATTCGTACGGTGTTATGGCACGCCTTAGAACTGTCATAGCGCAACAGTGACGTTGATTCGCGGTGGTGAAGCCCCAGAAATGGTGATCCGCCGCGATTCGGAATCGCCGGGACGCAACAGGAACGTTGATTCGCAGCGTTGTACACCCAAAAATGGTGATGTGGCACGATCAAAGATTCCCAGGCGATTATCTTCCGATTGGGCACTTCCCGCAATGGAAATAACTTCTTGTGGACACCTATGAAGAGAGAACTTATCAAGGGTTTTTTGATGCGTTTTGAGTTCGCAGTGGTCTTCCTCCTCCTCCTCCTCCTCCACCACCTCCTCCTCCTGCTCCTGCTCCTGGGGTAGCGAGGGTATTTTTCCGCGGAACGCACCCTTCGACGACCCACCCATCTATAACACATCGGCCGCCACTGCGGAGCAAATTCACCCTGAAGTCGTGAGACTGGCCTTGAGCGGATCCTGGCTGGGAGGTGCAGGGGAAGGGACGAGGGCCAGTGTCGGCGGCGAGCCCGGGCGGGAAGTGAGGAGCGGCGGGCCACCTCGGAAGGCCCGGGAGCCCCCCGGGGCCCCCGGAGGAGCGTTCCAGGCTTCCCCCGAGCGCACAGACGACCTCTCTGAAGGCGCGAGGGCTTCTGAGAAGTCCCGCACGCCTTCCGAGGAGGCCTCCTCCGTCACGCTTCCCACAGATTCTGTTCGCGCGCGGTCAGCTTACGACTCGATCTCGGCATCTAGGGCAGCCAGAGAGCTCTCAGTCACACCAACCGATTCAGCAGCCTCGGAAGCATTGGCCTACAGTGCGGGCGCGGCCGCAAGAAACCCTCGCAAGAAACCCAAGCCTGAGAACCCGTGCGCGAGGTGCTCCTGAGGGGAAACCCGGAGCACCCTGAACACAGCAGCTCATTCAACGGCCCAGGATACCCTGACGAAAAGCACATGGCTTCTTGACGCGCGCCCCCACTGTAGAGCTTGGAGGAGGAGGGAGGAGGAAGGAGGAGGAGGAGGAGGAGGAGGAGGAGGAGGAAGGAGGAGGAGGAGGAGGGAGGAGGGAGAGGGAGGAGGGAGGAGGGAGGAGGGAGGAGGAGGAGGAGGAGGAGGAGGAGGAGGGAGGAGGAGGAGGAGGAGGGAGGAGGAGGAGGGAGGAGGAGGAGTAGGGAGGAGGAGGAGGAGGAGGAGCTCGGTCTCCTGCCCTGGCTCGCCGCCGGCAGCGGAGAGAGGGGGCAGGAGCGTGGGGGGACCTGGCGGCCTCGGGGGCGGGCGCCGGCCCCCCCCCCCTGGGGGGGCCGAGGGCCAGCGCCCGCGGAGGAGCGGCGGGGAGGAGCAGGAGGGCAGCACCGAGGGGAGCGAGGGCTGGCGGCGAGCGAGGGGGGGGGGAAGTGAGGAGGAGGGCTTCTCAGAAGGTGGCGGATCTTCTCAGGAGAGCCCTCGCGCCTTCTGAGAGGTGTTCTTTTGTCTTCGGGGGAGGCTCCGAAGACCTCCCAGGAGGCCTGGGGACTTCCGAGAGCCTTCTGAGAAGGCCTGCTCCTTCTCACCTTCCCCCCTCGCTCGCCGCCGAGAGGAGCTGGGGCAGCGCCACTGGGGGAGCGGCAGGAGGGGAGCGAGGGAGAGGAGGCCAACGACGAGGAGGGCAGGCGAGCCCAGCATCGTGTCGACGGTTCGGGTCGGCGACGGAGAAGCATCGGAGCGGCGGAAGCCGGCAGCCAAGTCGGGAGGAGTCCAAGCGGCGGGAATCGGCAAGTCCTCCAAGCGGCGGGAATCGGCAAGCCAGCAAGGCCTCCACAGGAACTCGGAATCCGGATCGGAATCCCAAGCCGCATCGAATCAGAATTGGAAGCCATCGAAATCGAATCGAATCGAATCGGATGAGCCGAATTGATCCCTGCGAAGGTCGGATGGGGAGGCAGGAGGGAGGGAGGCGAGGGGGGGCAGGAGGAGGAGGCGAAGTTCTCCGCGCCCACATAGGCACCTCCTCTTTTACCGGTTTTTCTGACATCTCTTACACCCGCACTCGCAGTGGGTACAGCCAACCCGTACAATAAGGACGCACGATAGGGATGGCAGGGTCGTGAAAGGCCATGTCGACACCTTGCGAGCGGGGCGCGGCCACCGAAAGCGGCCAAGGATGGGCCGAAGGAAAAGAATGCAAGGGCAATCTTGGAAGGTCAAACGCATGTTCCAATTACGCTCATAGCTGTTGGTTTGATTTGATGTACGGTCATAAGTGGTTGACGTCATCGAGGTCGTCGTTGTCGCGCGTGATGTCGGTAGCGGGTTCGGTCTCCTCCGCGTCGTTGCTGTGCTGGCCGTGGGTCGTCAGAGTCTGGCTCTCAGGCAGTGGCTAAGAGCATTCACCTGCCCCGGACCCCCGACGTCGTGCGAAACTCACGACGTCGGCCCCCCTCGGGAGCGGCCAAGAGGGGGGGGTCCAAGAGGGGGGGTGCAAATCATGACCCGCGGCATGTGCGCGGCCCAGCGGGGGGGCCAGGGACGTAATGAAACAAGAAGAGGCGCCATGAAATCCAGGGAAATATCATGGCCCCCGCCATGATATCCCCCCCCCTAGTCATCACCCCCCTCTTTTCCGCCCCCGACCCCCGAAATCTGGAGACCTTCCCTTGGGCCGGTTTCTCATCTCGAGTCGCTTTGTTGACGCTCCCGAGGCCCGGCGAGGGCCTCCAGCGGCCGAAAGTTGTCAAAAGACTTCGTCGTGAGTTTCTCGCGAGGTCGGAGGTCTGGGGTGGTCGAGCGCCACCACGCGTGGCCCCCATGTCACAGCTGCCCGGCCGCACGGTCGAGCGTTCCGCCCGTCTGTTTGGCATGCTGCTTGGCCGTGCGGGTGGATCCTCGTACAAACTCCGCCCATGGTTCGAATCCCATCCTCAAGTCGGGCGTGTCCCCTTACAGGGGGGATTTTCGACGAAAAATTGAAAATACTCACAAAATACTCCAAAGCGGTCAAAAATACTCAAAAACTAGTGCCCAGACTATTTTTTGACTATTTTTGAATGTTCTCCCTGTAGAGGGACACGCCCGACTTAATCCCATCCAGAGCAAGACACGACAAGACAAGACCACCGCTGCGAACAACGTCCAGGCCTGGCAAGGACCAGGCGGATGAGTCACCTGACTCTGGCGCAGCTTGGCAAAATGCAGCGCGAGGTTTGCAAAAAGTCACGAGAGGAGAGGGCAAATAATCAAGGGCGTCCAAGAGGGGGGGGGCGTCCAAGAGGATGGGGGGGCGCAAATCATGGCTGGCGGCAGGTGCGCGGCCCAGGGGGGGCGGGGACATACTGAAGCTCAAGAGGCGTCATGAGACCTGGTGAGATATCATGGCCCCTGCCATGCTATCCACCTCCCACCTCCTCTTGGCCGCCCCCGAAAGAAAAAAGACAACGACGATGGGCCACCCTCGGAAGAAGAAAGACGCCCCCTGAAGTTGAAAGACGACGACAACGACGACGACGACGAAGGGGGCCCCCGAAACGAGAAAGAAGACGACGACGACGAGGACGACGACGACGACGACGACGACGACGACGTCGAAGGGCGCCCCCGAAACAAGAAGGACGACGAAGGGGGGGTCGTCACCACCCTTTGGCCGCCCCTGGGGAGAAGAGAGACGACGACGACGACGACGACGACGACGACGACGACGACGACGACGACGACGACGACGACGACGACGACGACGACGACGATGAGCGCCGTTTTGTAGGGAAGGGCGCCGCGGCCGCGGCCCCGCGGGCGCGCGAGGGGCGGGCGAGGGGCTCCGTGCGCAGAAGCGGTACGCGGTGCCTTCCTTGAGTGGGCAGGGGGGGGGGGAAGGGCGCGGGGGGAGGGTCGAACCCGAGCGCGGAGGCCGCTGCCGTTCGGTCGGGCATGTCCCCCTGCAGGCGGGATTAGGGCGAAAAATAAAAGAAACAAACAAACAAAACGCTCAAAAATAACCGCAAAGAATCGAGAAGTCGTCTCCAGACTGTGTTTCAACTGCGCTTGACGACTTGTGACTGTATTCCTCTCCTATAGACTATTGTGAACAGTTTTGGCTGTTTGTCTGACTATTTCTGGATGTTCCTCCTGTGGAGGGACACGCCCGACTTGAAACGCTGCCGTCGCGGCCGCGGTCGGCCGTCTGGCGGCCGCGGCGCGCGCCTCGCCGCCGAAAATAAAGGGGGGGGCGAGGGGGGCGGAGAAGGAGGAGGAGGAGGAGGAGGAGGAGGAGGAGGAGGAGGGGGGGAGGAGGAGGAGGAGGAGGAGGAGGAGGAGGAGGAGGAGGAGGAAGGAGGAGAGGAGGAAGAGGAGGAGGAGGAGGAGGAGGAGGTGGCGGGAGGAGGAGGAGGCGGGAGCAAGCAGAGGAGGTCCCATGGGGTGCAAAGCTGCACCTTCTGTTCCCTAAACGGGGTTTTGACTGGGGCTCCGCAGGGGCCCCCTTGGGCCCAGGAGGGGCACGACGGGCGCGCGCCTCTTTCCCCCGCCCCCCCACATGTACGGTGGAGACCCATGGCAAACACCCTGCTTGCCTCCAGGGTACCCTGGGCTTCCTCGGCCTCGATGGCCTTGGCTGTGGAAAGAGCGCGACGCTCCCGCTCCAAGAATCAGTGGACGTCCTGGACTCTCGGGGTCGGGTCTCTCGTGGAAGGCTTCTTGTGGGCTCTGGAAGGAGAGGGTGAGGAGGAGGAGGAGGAGGAGGAGGATTGGATTGGATTGGATTGGACACGTCGAGAGCAAGGCTGGGCCATCCAGCAACGAATGTTGGAGAGCAAACCTTGCACCGCTAAGCACCGCTAAGCGGCACAAGGTAGCCATCCAAACAACATGCCAGAAGGACCCGACCTAGAGACAAAAACCGCGATGAATCCCATGCAGAGCAGCGCTGCAAACCAGTTCCACTGGTTGCCGCCGCCAACCAGGCAGACGTCACCAGAAGAGTGCGCGACTGAGACTTAAAGGCCATGCGCACTGAGTCCGTGGCGCACCAACTCCGTGACATTCAGTTTCCGCGGCACGGAGGGCTCATTTTTTACCGTCGGTCAGTTTTTGACCGGCGATCGACAATAAACAGCCACATTGCGTTGCGTCGCAGCCCTGAGGAGGAGGAGGAGGAGGAGGAGGAGGAGGAATGAGAATGATAATGACCATGTGACAGAGTCAACCGAGTGCCTTCCACGTGAAACACTGAGGCACCAACAAATTACACATGCCCGCGAGTGCGCTTCTCTGCTGCACTCAACACCTTGGGAAAGAGGCCTCTGGAGATACGACTTAGGTACTCGGCCCGATTGGGGGTGATCTTGCCTGTGCGCCCCTTCCCTAACTCGCGCAGCACGGACGATGCGTAACAACCACACGACTTACAATACCAGAGCATCAATATTGTGCAATATTGCATATCATGACTCAGGTCTACCCAACCCCCCGCAATGCGCAGTTTTGTATTGGGGGGTTTATAAAGGCGGGACCCGTCATACTTCAGAGGCTGAAAACAATCGCTATCCAAAAACTCGGTCTTGGTGGCAGCGGAGGCTGATCCTCCACACCTAGT